GAATTATCGCAACGCTTCATTTGCTGCTTTCCCACGCAACGCTTTCATTTGCGGCTTTCCCACGGGGTAAAGTCTACCCGACTAAATAGACATTGCCGCTATCTTTCTTCCAGAGGTCATTTGCACTTCCTGACAGCTGAAAATGTTGAAACTCATATGTGGTTACCTCAGTTGGGGGAATACAAAGCCCCTTCCAACTTTTGTTTACGCCAGTATCCGCAAAACTTTTCTAAGTGTTCAGGCAATAGGACAACGATCACTTCCGAAAAGGGCATGAGAAGTGATGTTTTTCTCAAATGGTTTCTCGCACGTCACACAAATGCTGCATGTATACCTGATGAACTAGGAATTTTCCTTATTGCTCGCATTCTCGTCGCCCTTACGAGACTCGAACAAAAATGTTACATAATATCCGTGCGTTTTATATTAATTAATATAAAAATAATTATATCAATCCACTGAATAAGGCTAGTATACCCCATATAAAGCGGTTTACGTGCATTTAATGTTACCTTGGTGAAAGAGCTTTCAAATAAGAACAGCGAAGAGAATTTAATTGCTCTTGACATGGATCGTGACATTTCTCAGTGTGTAATTAAGAGTAGGAAATATTCATGAAGAAACAAATATTTGTTAAACGCCCACCTATCAATCATGTTATACAAAAGAAACAAGGCAACTCTTTTACAGTCCAACCCAGGCAGTGTGCGCGCTCTGATTGCGTTGCATCATGGTCGTAAAACGAAAAGTGAGTCATTTGCATCCTGTCGCTGTCGCGGTCGAGTGAACATCTCTTGTGGCAGCGAGTTAGCGTGAATAAACGTGGAATGTAATGGGGATTTACTGTCATTTGCCGTTCCTTCGAAAGTTAAAAAGCGTTATTCCTCCGTGACAAATTCGTTATCAGTTACGCTCACAGCTGATGGCTGTGTGAACAATATCAAATTCGCGAGTTATTTAATGTGAAATCGACCCTAGACATGCAAACGCATTATATTACAAAGAGATAGCGGCCCCCTTAATACACGAACTATGTAACTACCACTGGCGACTAATACTAATTAATTCTACGCAATTTTTAACGCGGAACGAAACGACACGGTACGGTTAAAACTGCAAATAAAACAGCGAACGAAAACTATTACAATATAAACTAGACTAAATACACAAGTCAGCTTTTCACGTCATACAGTTAAAGACGCAAATACGGGATTCCCGAAAGGAGAAGGCATACGCCTCCTAAGACCAAATTCGTCACGCTCAACGTTTAATAAAAACGTACAGAGTTTCAAATATGCTTAAAGAATAAAGAATACCCAGAATAAGATTTTGAGAAACGTATCTCTGGAGTTATTTTATGCGGGAGAGACAGTATACCTGAAAACGAAAAAAATAGCGCGCACAAATGAAAATATTACCTCTGGTAACATAATCTAATCTGGCTTTGCCAATCCTCAAGAAGACCAAGAACATACAGATGGAGAAATGACAACTGAAAAACCTTTACTATCACATCGTAAACAAAAGTCATTAAAAGATATCGTAATAACAGCTTAGCTTTCAGGTCAGAAGATTTAAAAGCGCAAGCGAATGGCCGGAGTCGCACAAGCCTACCAACCTTGATGCAATGCGGTCGTTTGTTTTTGTTTTGAATCGCCGCTTTTGTTTGAATAGCGCCTCTGATTGGTCGGTTATTTTTTACCTTGTCACGTTGCTCAAAGTACTTTCTGCGTTTTCTCCGATGAATTTGAAGAGCTTGTCAAAATAATTCTGTTCAAAACAGTTCTATACGTTTTAATCGGGCATGGAATCAGATGAATCGATTGATTTCGTAGATTCTGAGGCAGTAAATGCTTATGGATCGGTTGTTGCTAAAGAGGAACACGAAAATCCTTGCGAGCATTTC